CTTTTATTACATACATTATATCTATCATGGTACCATGTCATCAACTACTCAAAGTAACATTTTTAATGCTTAGATTTGTTAGTCATGTGTGAATTTCTGTCCCAGGATTTCAGGTAGGATGCAATGCGTAAAATATTGCTGAATTTTGGGAACTGTTGTTTCCCAGAGCTCAGCATCTGGCAGAATTCTTTCCATATAAATACCATTTTCACTCCGCACTAAAAAAAAATCATAATGTTGCACATCCACAATGTGAATCTGAGCCTGGACCCGACAGTAATAAGGATGATTCCTATCCAGTGGCACAGAATCTTCGTCCTTTACGAGACAAAAGCCATACTATCCAGTGCACATCCTTAGATTGACTTCATGCTGTTTGCTCTGTAGACACTGAAGAATAAGACAATGAAAGCTAGACATGGAAAATACTCTTCCAAACATTGAAATATGACATTTTTTTAAAGCTTGTGTTTCAGTTATTTCACTGATAAAAAATAATGCTAAAATGTGAGCATGTTTATGTCTGTGAACCGGGTTTGTTCCACTGTTAATGTTTTAATCTGAACTAGGTCTTAAAAGGTCATGGAACGTCAAAACCCTTTTTGTAACGGGGGGGAAATCAATGTCCCAGAAAAAACAACGCCATCCACAAAACTACAACTACATGTTGTGAGTTGTACTAACATAATGATTCGAGGAAAAAAATTACAGTTGTAATATTCATATTTTGAGGTGCTCAAAATCTGCAATGCAGCGATTAGAATTTCTCGAGGAATAGTTTTTACCTTGATTTCACAAACACCGGCTCCAGGACAGTCACATGAAACCACTCCATCTGGTGAGGCTCCCATGTACGGCCACATTGAGTTTAACCACAGCCCACTGACCATGCAGGAAAACCCCTCATGGTCCACACTTTGGAGTTGTTCATACTGTTGTTGGGATGTTGCTTCAAATTTACTTGTCTCCTCCTCTACAGCTGGTACCTGAAGAACACCGAGTTCCTCATAACTGAAGTCCCTGCATGCTGCCTGTTATTGTGCTGGAGATAGCTGTGAAGTCTCTGGTATGCAGAGAGAGATTTTGATAAGAAGGAGACACACTTGGGGACAAACTCTGTAATATGGTGCCCTGGACATCAAGGCAGCACTTCTTGGAAAAGTTTTATGTAAAGCCTCAAAAAACAGCACATACGTCTCAGAATCTCTCTCTACTTTTGGACACAAAGGGATTTGTGTTGTACAATTCTCAGGTACCTTGCCTGCAGAGGTGGCCAAAATAAATGCATCATTGTAAAAGTGTATCTAATTGTTATAGAAAATAAAATTAATATAAATAATGCATCTATTTTACACATAATTTTTCTTTGCGGAATATAACCAATTGACAAACATGATTACCTGTCCTCCCTGGAATAACATCATCCAATTTATTTTTTGATCTTGCAAACACAAAATCAATATTGGCAACAGGTGCAGCTGGTATCTGAAGTTACAAAGTAGATACAGTTATCTTAATAATATTAACAAAACAAATAAAACCATAATATTTGCAACAGATCAATATACCTTTTTCATGTGTGATGGCATTAGCCATTTTCACTTCTCTGTGGTGCGCAAAGCACTTTTGTTCATTTTCACCCCAAGCCTCTGTTGCAGAAAGGACAGCTCCCACATGAGCAAGATTTGACAGTCTGAAAAAAGAATATGTACAAATATCAACATTACTAGTATTTAGCCAAGCTATTCCCACTGAGATGAGTCCTGGACAGAAAATAAGAAAATATGTTTACTCTGTGGGCCTTTCATGCTTAAAGAAAGGAAAATATTAATTAATTAAATATAACCTACCCAGCCACAGAGTCACAGTGAGCTGTGACTATTTCCCCACTGTCTCTGACCACAAACCACGTTTTTAATGGGGTTTCTGTTGATCGCTGCGAATGGTTGACCTACATTGTAGAAATGCAGTATGACTCAACATTAACATACAACTCCAACATGAATTTGGGTTTATAGAAGCTACATAAATTTTTTACAAGTAGATCCAAGCACATAGAAATAACATGGGTTAGCTTGTTGTTAGCGGTAACATTGTTATCATGGACTAATTACTTAAAATGGCACAACTCATTACTCACCCAGGCAGAAACAAGTTGACAGCCATTTAATGCTTCTTTGGATCCTAAACAGTTGACCCGACCTGAAACTAAATAAGTGTATGCTTCTAGACTTTTGAAAGCTTCCATTTGGCTGGTGGTATAGCATGAGGTCTGCAGCACCAGATACTTGGTTATGTCAATCACCTCCATGACAGGTAAATACTCCAGATTACCGGTACATGACAAGTCTTTGTTAGCTAGACAGTATGGATCATATCCTAAATGTGACTGTATTTTTTCGATACCTCGCCTTTGCGAGCCCATTTAGGGCATTATGGGATGTTTTTTGAACTGGAGAAATCCACTTCCTGCCCTCCATTTGCATTTCGCACGTCATCCCAGTCACATGTCTGAAACCCAGCAATAGAGACAGGAGCTTCAAAATTGATCAAGGAGCTGCTGGTATTCATAAAGAAAAAAGTAGCAGCTGAACAGACACTGCAGAGGACTGATCAGAGAAACAGAGGAATTGCAGAAAAAAATTGCTGAGACAACTAATGTCCAAAACAAAACATCTCACAGTCCCATTTCCTGTTTCAAATAAAAATGTTAGTTCAGATAATGCATTTCTACAGGAGCGCATTGCTATCACGCAGAATTATTATTATTTTTGAACACTATCACGTTATAACGTGATGCGTATCTTGTAAAAACGTGATAGCCATCTTGAGATTTAAAAACCTTTTTGCATCTGGAATGCATTAGAAATGAACTCCTATCACGTTTGCAATATTTGCTATTTTAATTTTCTGTTTTCTTTCTTTTTTGTCCTAGAGCATCTGCCTTTCTGTTTAGCTGTTGTGGCTTACATGGATGCATCAGCTAGGATAATAATGCCAACAACCTTCCAGATTCAGATTTATCGTCATGCAACATAGCATCAGAGATGAATAATCTATTCCAGGTCAAAAGTGTCTAAATATGTTAGCTTTAAAAGTAAGATTAAATATCCTATCCATCTCCTTAATTGGTCACATCAATATTATAAAAAATGAATAGCAAACATGAAGGGATACTCGACCAATTCCTGTTAGCCTCTGCCTAGCATAATACCACCACTTCCTGGACTTAAAATGATCACGTTTTTACAAGATATGCATCACGTTATAACATGATAGTGCTCGAATTTATTTTTCTGCGTGAAAGCAATGTGCTTCTGTACATTTCAATGAATTCTAAACACAACTAGAAAAATTCTGAAGAAATTTAAACGTGGCCTGCCAATGTGTGCCCATCGGCTGGACCCAGCATTCTGATGCTAAAAATTAGCATCAATGCTAAGCTTAGCTAAAATGTAGTCAATAGCATATGGAGAATCACAAACATGTTAACTAACATGGAGTTACGCCATTTAATTTGTTAAAATTAATGTATAAACTAAAATGAGCCAAAATGCTAATGTTAGCCTAAATGCTGTCAGTAGCATGTGGGGCATCAAAAGCATATCGTCTTACATTGACATCCTCCATTCAGTATACTAAACATAGCTAATACGTTAAAAATAGCTAGAATGCTTATTTTAGGGAGAAGGCTAATGCTAATGCCTTTCCCTTTTTTCAAGGGAAAGATTTTTCCTTGAAAACACCTTTGGTCACTGTATGAAACCTAACTATCCCACCATTATCAATTGTCTTCCATTACCTGACAACAGTTTAGTCGAGAAAACTCAGATATAAACTGTTGAGAAAATAAATTTAAAATAAGCTAGTTTTAAAACTTAACATGTCTTGATTCAAATGGCCTAAATTGTGGTTCTAAAATCAGTAACGTATTCTGACTTTTTGACCTTTATGTAGTTCCAGCAGATGGTTTGCTAGGATCGTTTGAACTGCCTTTTGTCTGTGTGGGAAAACAATACAGGAGAAGTTCTAGCTTTTCACACTCATCTGTGAAAGGCCGTAAACACGGCAGGGGTTTGAGAGAGGGTCAGAGATAGCTCCTGGTTGGATGAGCAAAGATACGCCTTATTTGAATAAATTAACGATAAGAATACGCCTTTTACTATAAAACTTTCTACACAGAAGTAACACATTAGATTTGCTCTTGCAATTCTCCAAAGACGTCTTTGCTTTTCTTCTTCTTTCCATTTATGTCAGGTAAATGAATGTATGTCTCTGTTGTTCTGCAGTTTCTGGTGTAAGTTTATGTATTGTCTTATATTGGATTAAACTCTAATTCTGTGACGTCAACACGCATTATTGTTGTTTTCCTTGTGGCCACACGTGGCTCGCCAGAGGACCTGGGATCCAGAGGAAGAGAGAGCCAAACTTTTTCCAAAGTTAACCAATTTAGATATATCTTCCTTAACAAAATGTAGCGTATTTAGATCAAGGATTTGAGACATAACGCAAAAAAGTAAGATTGATATCCGACTGCTGCAGAAGGCCCAATATAGGCACTTGCCATGATCATAGTATTATTAATTACAGCAGAACAAATGTGTTGTCAGTCAGGTACACAAGGACCAAGAGACCAGCAGTATGCAAGGTGTGATTCACCAGAAGTCTCTCTTGACTGTAAGGTACTGACGAAGATATACACTTTTTAGATACCACATACATGTACAGTGGGTTGCTGGTATTTGTGAGGGCTAGGTACCATAACCATCCATGAATACCTAAAGTCTGCAAATACCCTGCAAATACTTAGAACTGCCTGTTTTAATTTTTTTTAACTGTAAATATATGAATATGCATTAATACATAGTGAAAACTGTGTTGGCATTAACACAGAAGCTAATATATATAATCCTCTGATCTTTGCTATTTGGTATTCAGCCAATCAGTGCCAAGGAAAATAAATGGAGCTCCTGGATTGGCTAATTTGCAAATGCCAGCCGATACCGTCAACTGGCAATGTGCTTGGTATTTCATCTCCCCAAGCTGCTTTTCCTTTAGAATATCTTAGATATGTTCTATGAACAAAATCTGTGAATAAGAGATTTTCCACCAATAATTTGGAGTTAGCGGTTCTACAGAAAAATCCATGAATAGGTGAATACAAGAATCCTGAACCACAAACAGGTGGCATCTACTTAGGGTTGCCACCTTTCAGAAATCCAAAAGGGACGCCCACCACGGGGTGTCGTCCTACTCTCATGTGGTGGGACATCCGCTACAGTGATA